ACCCCGAGATCCCTTTCTATTTCATTTTATTGTAGTCACTGCCGGGTATCTATAGTCACTTTTACTTTCCATTGCTCCCATCCTTTTTACACTACGATTATTATTTCCTTATTGGCCACCTGTGTTACATTTCTTTCTTTTCACACCCCGAACCCCAAATACACTTAACAACATTCCTTTCCTTTGCTACAGCCGCACCACCTTTTTACTTCTTTTTGTTTATTACAAGCATCATAACCTTTTTACTTCTTTTTGTTTATTACAATATATCAAATTAAAGCTTATTTTATGTGCTATAAAATGAAAAAAAAATTATTTGTCCCGACACTTTATCTTCAGCATGTAAACGGCTGCAGTAGTTAAAAAAACACTATTTTTGTGTTAAAATTTCGATTTTCGATTTTTAATTTTCAACTTAAAAGTGCTATAACTTTTCGAAAAATGTAATTATCAGCACAAATTTTTTTTTTCTAAATATATTATAAAGACATCTTTCATTAGACATACTTTTTATTAAAATTGGACAATTTCCCCTTATATAGGGGTCGTTCAAAACTTGAAATATTGTATAAAAAATAGAACTTTTTCAACTTAACTTTTGAAAGTGTTCCGGAAATACTACGTCTAGTATTGTGTGAAACACAATATATCGACAGATTGTCTGATGTTAAAAATGAAAATNTGATCTTATATTGTGTGAAACACAATATATCGACAGATTGTCTGATGTTAAAAATGAAAATTTAGGTTTTATTTCACAAGACCGTAGTCTAGCCATTTCAGCATTGACTTTTGAAGATGGTTTAGGTGGATTAAATGGAAAATAATTTATACATAAGCCCTTGGCTGATGTTGCTCTACTGCATCCTACATAAAGCATATTACACAGTAAATACTTTTTAGGCACATGGTATGCAACATTTTCATATGTTGCACCTTGTGATTTATGAACAGTCAATGCTAATGCCTCAACTAAAAGTAATTGCGTTCTAGTTACCTTCCGTTTCTCTGAATTTCCAATTTGAAACTCCAAGTGCGTAATTTCAATAGGTGTCTAGTGAGACCAATCGTCGGATACTTCTCCTTGAGGGGACAACTTTCCTTCAACTTTTTGTCTTGTAATTGAGCCTACTTCTGGTTCATCAAATTTTATCCACACTCTATGAGCAACTTCTTTACCACTAGTAGTTATTGTGCGGTTGATTTGCATCAGTTCTCCAAAGGCACCATTAACAATTCCGTCTTCTGTACAGATATTTGTAACAATCATGTATTTCGCTGTTACCTTCAGTATAAGTGTTTTAGGCAATCCCATAGTTTTTTGCCTTGGAAGTTTCTTTGCAGCAGTAATATCAACTTTTTTCCCTGTTGTATCTATTGCTTCAGATACAAAACTAGTAGTATTTAAACTGTTTAATACTCTCGTATTCATATCGTCCACCTCTTTATTTGTTGTCCATAGATGCATAACTCCAGGTTGAAAACTAATTTCCAACAGTTTTACGAGTTTCATAAAAAAGTATATATCCTTTTTAATTAATTCTCCCCTTACTAATTTAGTTAATACTTCAGCAAATTCTTTGTCATCTCTTTGTCTCATAATTTCTTGTAATTCATAAAACTGAAAAGTTTCCCATATCGCTTTTGTCGCTATTAATTCTATTGCTGTTGGATATTTTGCAATTATTTGATCAAAATATTCGTACAGTGGAGTAGATAAAACTGGTGGTAATTGGTAAAAATCACTGAAAACAATAACATTTATATAACCAAATGGTTTGTCAACACGTAGAACATGCCTAAGTCTTTGATCAATATAACTAAGAGTCTTTAAGCCAACCATAGAAATTTCATAAATTATTAAAAGTTTGACATTTGCCAAATGACACCGAAGAGTATTTGATATGTCAGCGCCATGTTTTGGTAATATTCCAGAAAATTGATTAATTGGCAATTTAAATGCCGCATGAAGTATTAAACCTCTTATACCAAATGCTGCTTTTCCTGTAGGTGCAGTAAGTAGTATAGGAGTGAGTGACAAATCATCTATATCTGGCCTAAGATTAGCTATTCGAATTGTGGATTGAGCTAAAGCCCGTATTAGTACAGATTTACCAGACCCAGCTGGGCTGGTCACAAAACATCGAAAACTAGATGCGCCTGAACCCCATATTTGCTGTCTCAGTACATTAGTAGTATGATAGAGAAACATGCATTGACCTTCATTCATACATTAAACTAAGTTTTGTAGTGAATCAAAAAAAGAAAAATAATATAATACTTTATTGTATTAATGATATAAAAAGGGGTTATTAATTTAGGGAGCACTTTGACAGTTGCTTAAAATAAATAAGTTAACTAGAATATGATGGGATTAGGGTTCATATTTGATCCACTACTTTATTTTATTAATGATATTATTACTCGGGGTACGAGTACGAGGGTCTGTAAGAAAGATAAAAGATGATAGAAAATAAAGTGATCTTTATTTTATTAATATGGGATTCATTATAATTAATTGTCAATTTTTGAATATCAATAATGCCACGAGTTTTGACGGTTATCGATGATAGGTGGGATTGAGTCACCTCGTGTGTCTACTCAGAGTGGTATGGTGGATATACATATGAACCTCCAACCTAACTCTTGAAATAGACACGTATCAACGATATAACTCTGCCAAGTAACTCTGTACAAACATTATCGATTTATTAAATTTACTTGGTATATTTATTATTATTGATAATCACTTGATTTTACTGTATGCCTACTTAATCTATGTACTCATAAAATTTAATTCTAAACCTTATTTATTTTTGATGAATTTAATAGATTCCTACCTTGATATTTTCTGTGATACTCTTAAATAAATAGATGTTGTATTTTTTTGTACAAATATAATTGTGTTGACGGTGGATTACTTCTTGCATATATTTGCAAGAATGATCAAGCGTAGTGAGTGCTTCTGTGAATATCTGACTGCATCTGTCCCAGAATGCTCTTTATTTTTGGCTTTTTATATTAAATTTGACTGTAGTTCAAAGGCAAGAAGTGATCCCCGACGCCACCGTTATTTCTTTATTAATCGTAATTTATTACATGTTATTTATTACATTTTCATTAATAATGATCTACATATTATAAAATACTATCATATCTTATACAATAATTTAGACATAGTTAACTACCCTACATCTTATGTGCTACCATTACATATTGTTTATTATTTCCTGTTTGTTTTATATAATTAATATATACTCTTTTTCTACGAAATTTCATTAGTATTTTGAAACATTTAAAAGGTATATATATATCTTATTTTTATTGGTATACATTTTATTTTGTATAATTGATTGATTTTAAATTTTAAATAATACATTATGACATTAATGATGTACTATGTATATCATTACAGTTCTGCGCGACTGTCGTGATGCGTAGTATGTTTTCACCTGATAAAAATTGCGTAGCGACAGGGCGCATTTTAAATGAAACGTCGTTTAAAACGTTGCGCCCTGTTTGGATCTGTTTTTGGCTGGGGGGTGGACTAATTCTCTCTTAGCCGATTGCCGTTTTCCGATACCGACGGTCTCTTTGGGCATTGGCGATACCAGTGTCGCTCGCCGCAATATCGGCACGAAGTCGGCGGTGCGTCCGCGTTCGCATAACCCGTTCGCTGGTTGAGCGGTTTGCCACGGAGGCAGTTCGGCTGGCTGTCGGGACGCTGTTGGAGCGTTAACCGTATCATATCGCGGTAATCGTCCCGTAAAAGCCCCGTTAACTGTTGCACAAGTTGTTGTTCTGGTGACCTACAACGTACTCGTGCGGCCAAACGTTGTTTATGAATAATAAACTCGTTTAACGTTTGTCGGGGGCCCTATCGCGACAGTCCGTCTCAAGCGCTGTCCGGATGTCGATATTGTCAAACTACTCGAGTTATTCGGACCTAAATTCCGTCCATGGCATATTATTTAGTTTTATAGCTCACTCAACCAATAACCTGCCCTGTAGTTCAAAAACGGACAACGATGTTCACCCACGTGGTATACAGCTCTGACGGAGTAGATCCTCCGCTCTGTCTAGAAACTCCCGTGGGTTCTCTTCATTTCTCCCGTAATATTCAGGCAAGCAGGCGCATACGGTGCGCAGGTCGTGGTAAGGTACCAATACAGACCGCCAGCTGCGGGTAGGCGACAAATCATTAAAAGACCGATGACCGTCGGTTGTTTTGAATTACTCCCCTCCTCATGGTTGGCGCGTAAACGAGAAATCGGTAGGCTCGTTCTCATATGTATGAGTGCGCGGATAATGTTCGTCTTGCCAACCCGTACTACACATTCGTGGTAGCAACGCGCGTGACGCTTGTACGTACGAATGTCTCAGGTTGCGGGCTTCTTGTGCTTCGATGTCCGTTTCAAGAAAGAAAAAAAAACAACAGAAAAAAAAAAAGTATCGTGACAAATCCAACGCATGGGTCAGGGTAAAATGGACATGTCACCAACGTCAATGGAATCCTCTACATAAATGTAGGGGACCCATTGAGTTGTTCACCGTGTCCACTCTAACCACACCCGAGGACCTGTCAGCTCACGAATGGTGAAAGAAGAAAAACTAAGGAACAGAAAGGATTGACCATACAGCCTAATTTCATTCCATGGTGACAATTTATATAATCATTAACTAAATATAAAAAACCCAGCACAAGAGGGTCGCGGCACAGTGGTGACGTGGCATAGTTGGATCAAGTATAATGATATCTGACAGTGATTAAAATCACTATCAAAAATAAACGCTTCGATGCAAATCTTTAGATAGTGCTTAATTTAAAAAAAATTGGTGTTTTATTCCAAAAGCTACTTGATCTGCTGGTTCCTTATTAATATTCTGATTAAGGTAAAGTATGTCGAATGAAAAAGGGTTTATTAAAAAATATTATTTGTCATAAAAAAATTGTGTGGATCCATAAACTTTTCAATAAGTTATAGCATTATAAATATTATTTAATTACAATAAATATACCTAGACTCGGTCACTAGTTTCACTGAAATTTTATAATCATTATAACTTATAACACTCTAGTATAATTATTTTGCGTATATATTTTTAGTTAAAAAAATTTGTATATTTAAATTTCTATTGGTCGAGCCGTCTGCGTGATGTTTTTGATGTTTTCTGTGTCAGTCGTGTTATTAATGTTACTTGGACGAACAGCTGAGTTTCAATTTTGTACATACTCTCTACTCTGTTTAGTATCTAATGCCACTAAAAGTATCTGTTCGATCCATTTTATCTTATATAAATGATTTTATTAATCAGATAAGAGCTTTTTCTCGTTTTTTTATATTGTATTAAAGATAAGTCGGGCGATGGACTCATCATCCAAACATCACGACGGGCGTGTCAATATGTACGAAATAAAGAATTACAAACTAAATTAAAATGTGTTACGTCTTTTTATCTTATTATATAATAGAACAAGGAAAAAAACGGTTTTCTAAAAAAATTACTTGGCGTGTTCGGATTTTCAAAATTTTTTTTTTCAACTTAAGTACTCGGTCACCAGACTCCAGGAAAATTATTGGCGAAGGTCGGAAAATTTTTGCGTTTTAAAATTTTGACCGTTTTTGAGAAAAACGCTCACTGACGTTAGCGTTTTACGACCTAAGGTTTGAAATTTTCATCAGACCCGACCAATGACATTCCTGAGATATTCCTTTCATTTCAACGGATTGAATTTCTTTTTTTTTTTTAAGTTTGCTCGCATAATTTTAATATGCGCACTGATTCATTTATGCTCATACGTTTATAATGAACCTTAATTATATGGTGTAATATGCATATTTATTAGGATACTAATTTGCATTTGCACATAGCACTATATTTTATCGAGGAATATTATATGTTATATATAAATTTCAAGACGGTTATAATTATATAAGTTTGTACTTTTATTATCAGAACAGTACATTATTAATAAAAAATTTTTCTCATATATGATGTATGAGTCTATGAGTTTATTGTTAAAATGGGGATTCATCTATAACTACTATGCTGCCCAACCTTAAATGGCAGTTACTAATATTTTTATCAAAATTAAATATTTTACATAGTCCCACGTATAATACACCTGCTGATTTTTTTAAAATTATTCTATAATATTAATAATAACAATAATATATAACACAATTATTATAATTAGAATATTAATAATTTTTGTGTATACCAGTGGTGTATTTAAGGGAAATATGGACCCCTTTGAACCAGCACTGTCAATATTATTTTAGGCAACTTCTAATAAATAAGGATCTAATGTCCTTTTTTTTCATCATTACTTTAATTTTTAGCAAAAAAAATTCTATAACATGTTTAACAAAGTAAAAAATATTAAACACCCTCCTAAAATAATTTTTGAATAGGCCTAAAGGGAATACTTCATTAATAAGCGTCAACCTTATTCCCAATACATTTTACTATTTTCTATTTTTGAATTTTCCTGATTTTAATTATAAAACTTTTAATATATTTTGTTACACTGATTCTGATGTAATATTTTTTCTGCAAAACACTTATCGTGCCCGGCGTAGCGGGTACCCCTACCGGAATCAGTCGCCTACTTATGATGATGGCCTAGTAGGGCTCCGGGTCTGGGACGGAGCCCCAGCTAGGTGGAGCCTAGTTTATTAAACTAGAATTAGTACGAATCTAGTTGTATTGATTTCGGGCCATATTGTTCTTTTTATTAATATGATAAGTTTTTTTTGTTTTATGTCTGTCGCCACTTTTTCTTAGCTCTCACTGTGCTGATTTCTTTCGTCAATTGCCCTTGAAAATTGAAAAAAATTCTTTTATTTCCTTTGACAGGGGAAATTACCTATAAAATATGAATTTAAATGTGGGTAAATTTCCAATTTTTTTTCTTAAAGGTATTATAACATTATGAAAAAAACATAACCAAAACTAACTTTTTTTTATAAATACTTTTTTTTTTTTTTGATATATATATATTTTAATGCTACTCTTTTCCTACGTACGGGGGGAATTCAAAATAGCAACTTTTGCACGAAAATTGAACCTTTTCAACTTTACTGTTGAAATATTCTTAGCTTCAAAAGTAAATTAAATTAAAATTTATGTACTAAAAGTTTTAAAAAAATGTTCTAACTACTTATTATTACTCAAACTTTTTAATAGATGTACGGACTAATACAATTTTTGTCTAAAGTACTTTATAAATTTTCCTTTCTTTGAACATATTTCTTTTTAATCAGCTCATTTTTTTTTTTTATTCAATAGGGGTTTGGTTGGATTGTTTTGAAAATTTATAAAAATGAAATATCAGCCCATAAAATTATATTATACTCGAAAATTTCATTTTCAAAATTATGTAACTTACTTTTTTCTTAAATAAACAATTAATTTAAAAATGCATACTTCGTCCAAAAGAAAAAAGTTATAAAAAACGACAATTTTTAAATTTTGAAAAAAACAAAATTGTACTTATCATAGCAATTTTTTAGTTGTAAATAATAAACAATATAAATATAAAAGACACTATGATTACATATAACTAATAAATAACCCAAAATATTTAGTAGATCTAAAGTTATTAGATTTGTCAAAACATTGTAGACCACTATACTATATTTTTAGATTTTTTGAGGAACGAAACGGTATTTCTTTGTGCTATACTATTAATTTGACAGGCAGATTAATATTCCATATTAACGAAATTTTTTTGGTATTCTTTAGTAAATTATTTTGATTTGGTATTAATTTTCCAATTGGTGTATGATATATTCGTAAACTATGAATTATCTTTAAAAAACGCATTTTCTATGTATGATCCTTCAAATATTGGCATCGTTACTATAATGGCTGCATCACAAGCTACATCGAAAAACAAATTGTTTGGAAAAAAATTATAAAAAAATTCAATTAGTAATATTCTAAACCAGTATAAGCCCGAGGAAAATAAACTCAATTACCAAGGTAATCATTATAACATATTTAAAATAATAAAAATACTAATAACATTTTTTAATAGTTTTAATAGTCAAATTTCAAGTTTATACTTTTATAAGGTTATAAGGATGAACATAAAAAATATTTCATGATTTATAAGTCTAGTAAAACATGGAACTTTAAGAATCAAAATAATTATTAATATTATTCTTTAATTAAGGTATTATAGTCTATTACAACTCAATTTATTTTATTATTACTAAAACACTTTTTGATATAATGGAAACTCATCTTAATTCTTTTTGCCTTATGTTAAATTATATTTTTCTTATTAAATCCAATTATGGCTTGGTTTCATTGTTTTAAGATCAAGCCTAATTTAGGAAAAAAAAAATTTCAAATAAAGTATTTGTTATGTGTTAAAAATCAAAAATATCAAAAACATTGTATTATTATTTAAATATTTGCAATGGGAATCCTTTAAACCTTATGTCGCAAATTTACTAATGTAACTTCTGTATTATTTAATTCTACTTAATTATTTTTAGGAATAAAATCCCAACTCCCATATTGTTAATAATTTTACAATTTTATTATATTTCAGAAATTGTAGATAAAATTACAAAGGAATTTGGCTATCGATTTTGATAATTCGTCAAAATAAAATGGATTGGTTTTATAATTTTACATGTCTGAAATTATTTTTGAATGATTTGTAAAAATTAATAAAATATTATTTACAATAATATTATGTTACATATTATTACAAAAAAGTATAATGTATGTATTGACATATACATATATGATCCAATTAATATTTTATACTAATTTCATATTTAAATAATTTTTATACTTTTGGACTATTTAAACAACATAACATATCACAGTTTATTAAATTTATAAACAAATTTTTTTAATTTTAAATTTACGAAAACTATAAATAAAAATTACAAAATAGTTATTTTGATTAGTGAGTTTTAAGAAAAATTGATAAAAAATATCTTATTAATTTTAGTAGTAAATTACCTGAAGAATTTTAAAGTTTGAGAAAACTTGAAATATTTAGTTATTTACAAAATCAAAATATTACATATGAACTGAGAAAATTATAAAAGGAAACGGAATTTTTTGATGCTAAATGTTAATCATAAGTATGTAACTTTATCCGTCGGAGTTATTTACGCTTGAATGATTTACACATAATTTACTATTTAACATTAAAAAAATATTTTATTCTCAAAATCTACTTTACAAAATTGCTATCTTGAAATTTTTAAATATTGCTAATAAATTTCAAAAAAATATGGTACGATGTATTTATTTGTATAGTCAAAAGTATAACAATGCCTTACAATTAAATTAATGTAAAATACTAATTGGATCCAAAGTAAATGAATTTATCATATTTTTGTGATTCACCTGTATATTATAAAAATCAATTACCCTATGCATTATAATTTATTTAATTATACAAAAGTATAATAATTTTTTTTACTTATTATAATTAAAAATCCAACTTGCCACCAAATAAAATACAAAAGATGGGAATAGTAATAAATCGGCGCGTATACTCTACGAGGAGTGTATTCATGTATAGATAAGTTTAAAACCAAACCCAACCCAACTTATCTATACAGTGGCGTAAATAACTCCCCCGCAATGCGGGGAGCGCCAAATTACAAATGCTCAATACCGCTTTTACGAGCGGAATGACCAGACAAAGGAAATTCCCTATATTAGTTCATAGGAAGTCAAACGACTATTTACCTTTTTACCTTTTAAGTTAATTTATTTAACTGCATGAAAATATTAGGTATAATTTCTCTTGTGTACATTGAATATGTATATTGATCGTACTATTTAAACTTTAAATAGGTTATAATACCTCGTATGTGGGTATAGGATAATATAATTAATAGTAGTAACAGAATAGGAATTACATTGCTGAATATCAGCTGTTAATAATATTAAACTTCACAGCGCATCCTCACTTACCTTAGACATAAGGGAAACGAACATTAATTTTGCGCAGGACAATTAAAAACGTCTTTTGTAAAATTTGAAAAATATTTAAGTAGCGGAAAAGTCTCAATAGAGCAAATACCATTTCGGATAGAAAATATAGAGACTGCTTGGTCAGAGTTCGAAGTGATTCAAGGAGCTATAGAGCTTGAAGAAAAGGTTAACATGGAGGAACAAGAGATATATAGATAGGAATGCGAAGAATTATTTTTTAGAACATTAGCCAAAGCAAATAAATTAATTGGTAGAGTAAGTTCGTCAAAGGTCGAAAATAGAGAAATGAGAGAAAATCAATGTATTTGTTAGCAAAGTTCTGGTGGTCAGAGAAATAAATTTATTCCTCGCGTTAAGTTAGCTCCTATGAGTATTCTAGTATTTACTGGCGAATACAGTGAATGGAAACCTTTTTATGATTTATTTTCTAAGCTTATACATGTGAATGCGGATTTATCGGATATTCAGAAATTTTGCTATTTGCGCTCATCTTTATCGAGAGAGGCAACAAATATTATTAAAAATGTAGAAACAACAGCGAATAATTATGAAAACGCGCAGAAAATATTAAGTGAGAGGTATGAAAATAATAAGTTATTAATTAGAATCCATGTGAAAGAGATTTTTGAGCTAGGAATGGTACATCAGGATTCTGCTGTTAAACTAAGAGAATTTTTGGATTCTTTAGTTTGTCGTATCAGTGCATTAAAAATGTTAGAAGAAAAACCTGAAGAATGGGGGCCGATTTTAATGTATTTAACTTCTATTAAACTTGATAGGAATACGCTAAGTAGATGAGAAGCAGAATTACCCCAAGATAGAATAGCACGCGTATCCAAATTTATTGCATTTTTGGAAAATAGAGTAAAAGTATTAAAAGCGGTAGGAGCGTCCAAAAATATTTTTTCGCGCGGTAACCAACAATATGGTAACCAAAATATGTTTTTCTATTGAAATAAGTATAGATCAGCTGTAATAACAACTACACAAGGATTAAAATGTTATGTTTGTGATTTGCCACATACAATATACCGTTGTCCACAGTTTATTTCATTATCAATTGCGGATAGAATTAAAAAGGCAGCGGCGCTCAAACTATGTAAAATTTGTTTGAGACGGCATAGTGAAAAATGTACTGCGCCTTATTGTTTAAAGTGTTCAAAACCACACAGAGTACTGTTGCATTTCAATACAACTCTAAATCAAGGAATAAAAGTAGATAATAATACTACAAACGATAATTCAATAGTCTCAGATAACGTATCAACGAGCGCCATTGCAGCGGCTTAATTACACGAACAAGTGTTGTTGTCAACAGTAGAAGCTTATACAGGTAATGTTAAAGGTGGAAAAGAAAAATGTAGAATTTTGCTGGATTATGGTTTACAGTGTAACTTTATAAGTGAATACATGGTACAATTATTGTGGTTGCGTAAATCGAGAGTACACCACAGTGTCATTGGCATAGGAGATACTAAAAAAAATATTACCTCAGTGGTTATTGCAGTAATTACATCGCGCATTAATTTATTCAAAATAGAAGTACAATTTTTGGTCGTTCCGAAGATAACAGGATTTATTCCGTCGAATGATGTAAAAAGTAAATGTTTTATTCCGGAAGGTATTCAATTAGCGGATCCGTCTTTCACGGTACCGCAAAAAATAGACTTATCTAATTATTTTTCCATAGAAATTAGTTGTTTGATAAATGGTAAAGAGGTGTCAAAGAAAAGTAAATTGTTATGATTAAGACCGGTTTTAGACGATAAACATTTTATTAGAATTGGTGGTAGGCTGAAAAATGCATTGTCTATTGATGAATGTCAACGTCATCCTTTAGTGTTACCGAGTGATAAGTGTAAATACACGCGTTTGTTATTTCTACGTGAACATTGACTGCTCTTTCCCCGATCCTTCTAATCCTTTACGCCAGCACATTTTTTAATCGGAGAGTCGTTTATGTCCGAAGTTGGAAGTTGGGTCGCCTACTAGCGGTACAGTATGGTAAAGATGGTATTATACGTTCTGCGACAATTAAGACTACAAACAGTGAAACCAATTATTAGCGGTACGACAATTATGTCCGTTACCTTTTAAAGGCAATCAAACGATGAGTTAAATTGCTTCGATGATTCATTCTGTTGAAATTAAATATTTTTTGATTATTTATTTGTTTATTTATTTATATTTATTGTGTAGATAAATTATTAGAGTCCAAATGTGTGTTTGTTCGATAATTATTGTCGAATACAAATTGTTAAATCTATTTGATAAGTTTTATTTGTAGTATTTTTTTTCTGTTTATTTGATTTGTTTAATAATCTTTAATTTTAAACAGTGTTTTAAGGATCCCGCTATGTTAGATCCGACTATCGTAATCAATAACATGTACGTGGACGATCGTTGATCACCACTAAAATTAAGTTTTAATTTAGGCGACGTGCCTTCTTATCGTATAGTTGTAGCTTAAACGAATAAAAATTGATTTACTAATGTTTGTAGTTTTACTTAAAATTAAAAAAAAAGAAAACTCAAAAATTTGTTCAATCAGACATAAGATATACAGTCCATAAGTGTGTTGATTCAATGAGTCTATGTCGTTATTAATAAATGACAATTTAATATTAACTCTGGGAATGGTTTTAGTTAACTGATAAAGATCAAATAATCAGCAATAATTGAGAGTATTTTGGTTATATGGGTTTTTAAAGAACGTCTATAATAACATACCTTTACTTTTTTACACCTTATAACAATTTGTATTATATATTAACGACCAAATAAAGAAGCAGTTTATTAAAAATAATTATGCTTTTTTTCTGACGGCCTTTTAATTTGAAGCAACTGTAACTGCTTTGAAAAAAAAGAAATTTAGACGAACATTTTTTTTATTGAATAAATTTGAAGATATAAAAAAAGTTAAGGTTGCAATTTAAAAAATTGATACGAGTTTAGAATACATATAAGATATGGTAGCAAAAAATTAATTTTTTGTGTAAAGAAGCTTCATACAAAACCATTAGTGTTATATAAATTAAAATAATGATTAATATTTTCGAAGATATTCTGTGAGATGTTGTTAAAAAATCACCCAGTAGTTTTAGATCAAAATATAATGTTGATGTTTTTATTTCTAGTTGCTTGTATGATAATTGTTTACTACTAAAAAATCTGAGGCCAAACTTTGAGTGAACAACAAAAGTATAAATACTTAATTCACCTAAATGACGTAGATATTAGAAAACCGTTAATATTTTATCCAACGTAATTAAATCTATAGAAATTGTTTTTCATTTTTTTAGCCGTTTAACTTATTCAGAACAATTTTATTAGTTCTATATTGTGATGGTGTCACGTTACTTTTATTGTAAAAATTATTAAAATAAAAAAACAGATAGCGCATCCGCTTTTAGAGACTGATGAATTAACGATTAGTATTTAATGCAAAATGGGCAATCGTTCAAATGACTATTTAAACCCAAAAGTCCTGGCCATCATTGTCAGCCCACTCCAGTGCTTTGTGTCATTCATTAGTCTCAGTATTCGGTTGTCGCTGTCCGGCTAACTGCATAAAGTCAAGTCGTTGTTTTTCCTTTTTCACCTACCTACTCTCGTCCTCGACATTTCAGAGTACTTGATTCTTGTACTTCGTGTTCACCTCATACTCGGCTACCCCTGTTCTTTATTCTCTCCTATACCCAAAGTATTTGTGTCTTGCACTTCGTCTGTGCCTCATAACTAGGTGTTACCTATATTTCCTTCCCATAACAACGGCCTTTCAACATCCACAGCTAACCCGGAGTGTCAGCCGAACACGATAACTGCTGTATGATTACACGCACGTGAATACCAAGGCAGCAGACTCAACATCATCTTCGTACACGCTAAATTACTCTAATATCTTTTACCATATGTGTTTTGTTTTGTGTTATGACAATATAAACATAAAAAAAATGTATCACACACACACATTTTGTAATTTAATAAGACTACTGAAGTATTTTAAAAATCTATATTTTAGGATATACTTAAGCCTAATTTGTGTAATGCTTAAAAAATGTATTAAACATGTACTCCCCAATTAGGCAGATGACACCTCCTATCACCTTGATAATGGTAATGATTAATCAATTTATTGTAGATGTATTTCCCGATTAAGGTGTCACCATCTGTCCCCTATAAAATGTTGGATGCACTAAAAAATTTTTAATCGATCACCAAGTATTAAAAAAAAAAAAAAAAATGAAATGTAAATATAATTAAATGGAGAAATCGAACCTCAAGATATGCCCTGAATAATTATTATGTTTATTTTTTCAGTAATTTAGCTAATTCAACTAACTAATTATTTTATACATAGAAATTTCATAGATAAATAGCGAAAAGAACTAATTTTCATGAATTTATTTTTATTGAAAATACCCCTAGTACTTCTTAAATTAGATTAAAATTTAAATTTTCAAATACTGTTTTGGGAGACGATTTTCATTAACTATTGTAAAAAAAATATTTTATTTAATTATTCACATTCAAGTTAAAACCATACATCGTAAAATAGCAATATGTCATTCTTACAAAAAAGAAGTTATTAGCGTGATTCAAAACAAACACACGTGTGTTGTAACATTTTATTGCAATATATTATTTTCAAAACATTTGTCATTAATTAGTTAATATATTCAAAAACATTTCTATTAAAAGTTTACAAATATTACTATATTGTTTTTAATCCAAGAAGACCATTTTGTCTCAAGTGTCAATTCTCAATCAATAAAAAATGAACAATATCTTAAAGATAAATCATATCATAGTTACATTTTAAATAATTATCTGTATTTGTTTAAAAACAATTGATATTTTAAATTAGAATGAGTAAATAAAAATTTTCTGCGATAATCTATGAATAATTTTTACTAACATACATCATATGTAAACGTGTCAATTAAATTTGATTAAAACAAGTGTAATATTAAATGTTGATACAGAGCTCCGCGACCCGTGTCACCTTTATCAGCCGTCGCCCGACTATGAGTATACGGTAGTTTGACTGACTAACACCGCGTATACGCCATACTTTGTGCCATACGCCACGGCACAAAGTCCAGCAAGTACCGTACGTCCGTCTACGACCCTCAACAAATATTCGTTGAGCGAGTGATCTTCATGACACGGCCGGAAACGGACCGCAGACATCACGTCAAGAAACACTTCCGCCTCAGTGTCGCTTCTGTTTTATATTTTTCGTGAACCACTAATTGTAATTACCTCTGTTAAATGATGTAATTATTAAACTATTCTTGTGACAATCGTGGATCAAAAATAAACGGCTTACGCCAACTATTTTTTCTTATAACTGTGTCGACTACTTGTTCGTTAAACGATCTAAGGCGTGTCAAAGGATTAAACCGGATTTACGTGACTAAGGTAAGAAAACCATTTGCTGACTTGATTTTTATTTTATTGCTTTATTTTTTCATATAAGACACAGCTAGATTTCCTTAGCCGCCATGTGCTTCGAGTTATTTCAGTTACACAGTTCGCTGGTGACTGCAGTGAATTCCCCACCAGGTTATAGTAAATAGTCAATAGCACAACAATTGTAGAATTCCACTTTGTTAGTTATTTTTAATATTAACCAGTTGTTTGTCCATCCAATCGAGGCGCCGCCGCTGATTCACATTAAGGCCCCCGCATACTAGAATGGTTGCGCCGTACGGTTATCACCACGTGCCACACTGAACGGTTTGAAAACTTTTTTGCCGCGTTTCTTGTTTATAATTTATATTTTATTCATTCAGTTGTCTTCTACTACGCTCCATAGAGCTTTTCATTTTATTTAATTATTATTTTACGATTTTTAACTAAGTATTTATTAATGCTTTTGATACATAGGAGTATTCAGTTTATATTTTGCTACATTAAAAGTTAAAATTACAAGTGAAATTTATTCTTTAATTGTTCAAATAAACTTATAAAATAAGTTCAGTTTATATGTTAAATAAATAACTTCGTTTATTAGTGTAACTCTTCACATAAATTTAGTTATTGTCATCTAGGACTATAAAACTTGACCGCCTCTTATACCTAAAGATTAACTTTTTTTAGTTTTGTAGTCTTACAATATTAATATTGAAACGATTAGTAATCATATAGACTTTGTATGAATACATATGAGTAAAACATTCATTAAACTAAACTTTTTCTTTTACTCAAAATGAACTTTAAGAATTTTACAAACACTACTCGCTGTAATAGCTGCTGCTGAATCATTTGATCTTTTAAGAGCTCCAAAAGAAAAATGGAAGTATAGGGTTCATCTATATAATTCCAATAATATGATAATTTCGGGTAGTTTTAAATTTCCCTATCCCTCCACATATAAACCAAGATCAATTAATATTAAAAATACAACTGCAGTGTTGGTTTTTCTAACAGCTAAACCGGAATCATCACTAAGATTTGTAAAAAGTATTTATATGTAATCATTAATTATGGATAAGACGTCCAGAAAAATTTTGTAAAGAGAAAATTTTTTTTGGATCAAAACACTGCAATATTAACAATAATTTTTTTTTAACTTTTCAGGGTTTAAAAAACTTAAAATTAATTTTTAATAATAGAAGCCTCTATTTTAAATTTGATATGATAGAAAAAAAAATTAGAAATAATTTAGTTCTTACAATTTATTTTATACAATGAACCAATAATATATATTAAAATGCTATAACAAATGAACGGTCCATTGCATAAAGGCAATTATTCTCCTATCATATTAAATTAAAAAAGGCTACCATTTAAAAATATTTTAACTTAAAATTTTTAGATTTTTTAATCCTAAATTTTAAAAAAAAATTATTTTACCACATATTATTATAAATTTTTAAAGCAAATAATTTTTTACTTTACAAAAATTAAACATTTTCAATGGTTTTTGAGAAAATGAGTATCTTACCCAAAATTGATCAGTCTGTGTGATACTAAGTTAAATCATCAATAATTATTGAATAATTTATTTTTAGAAAAATTGGGTTTGCAATACAATACTATTCAACGAATTGTCAAAAGTAATAAATTTCACTCTTATAAATTCACTCCTGTATAAAAGTTAAGGACTAGTGATTTTGACCGTCCATTACATTATGCCACATTAATGACAATGACAATTGATGAAAATCCTGCTTTTTTGTCAAAACTGCTTTGGACTGATGAGGCTCGCTTCCATAATAATTGCACTGTGAACAGCCATAATCGGCATTATTGGAACGATGTTCATCCCCATATTCACAGTAAAGTACAGTACAGATAACATATAGTTCGTAGAACTTTTTAGTTTGTTACATAATTTATTTTTTGAATTGCTTTCATTATTTTTTACGATGCCTAACATGAATAAAGTTGATACTCCAGTTAAAAAAAGTGTTAATTCAAGTTTACTACATGTTGAATATAATTTATCTGACGTTATGAAAAAACTCAAATCAATGAATTCGTCTCAAGATATCCAAAACAAAGTGTTAAATGAAAAGCTAATTAATTATGAGGCTAAACTTAGCAATCTTAATTCTTCGTTAGAAGGTATGATAAAATCTTTAAACATGTTATGGGAAGAAAACAAAGCCTTAAAAATTGATATAAACTTATTACGTGAAAAAATTTCATTGTTAGAATCGACGAATAGTCCGATTTTTAATCCGATATCTTCCGAGGAAATAATTACCGAGGCTCAAAATAGGGTTTTAAAACAAAAAAATGTAATTTTTTATAATATTATTGAAACGCCTAATGAAACTTTAGAATCCTCTTGTAAAATCGTTAGTGATTTAATAAAAGATATTTCTTTGGATTTAAAAGTAAATAGCGTAAAACGTCTGGGCAAACCCCATTATAACAGAATTAGACCAATACTTGTCGAATGCGATTCTATAGCTAACGTTTCTAAGCTATTAAAAAATAAATCTAAACTTCGAGCAATTAAAAAATGGAAAAAAGTTTATGTCAATGCTGATTTAACTTACAATCAAAGAATTCATGTAAGGAATCTGAAAGATGAACTTAACCGTAAACGTTTAGCAGGCGAAGCAAATTTGATTATAAAATTTGTCAAAGGTGTACCTACTATATGTCCAAAGAACTAATTAATCCTTTTTATAATTCTGTAAGTTATAATGATCAATTTCATGATTTTTATTCTTTGTCTAATCATAATTTATCGTATTTTAATTGTTTCATAAAAAGTAAAAAAAAAAAATGTTGTTAATAAGAAAAAAACTTTCACTGGTTTATATAAAAATTTAAGAGGTTTGCGAACTAAAATTCACGTTCTCAATACTAGTATTCCAATTATTAATGTTGATTATTTTTTGTTAACTGAAACTTGGTTAAATGGTTCTATTTCTGATTCTGAACTAGGTTTTGATAACTATAATGTATTTAGATATGACCGGTGTATGAGTACTAGTACGCACAATCGAGGTGGTGATGTAGCTATCTGTGTACACAAACGCTTTAATGCTGAAATATTATCAATACCAGTTATAAATGTCGAACAAATTTTTGTATTAGTTAGAGTAGGGAATAGTCATAAATTTATTTTAGGAACTTGTTATATTCCCCCTTCTAGTCCTCCTAATTTGTATGAAGCTCACGTGGAAGCAGTAGACTCTTTGTCCTGTTACTTTATGACTAATAATACTCACTTTATATTAGCTGGCGATTACAATTTACCTGCTGTAAAATTTTCATGTGATGATACTGGTCTTATATATTCTGGTCATAATCTACCAGGTGCTAATATAATCTTTAACAAATTTTCGTTTTTAAATTTATATCAAAATAATGTAACGTGACAAAAGTATCTGGTTGTTTTTTTTTGTCTTTTTGTATATATATATTTGTGTTGAGCCGAATGCGGACTGCGACGGCATTTGTTGGTAAAATTATCATGATAAGGTGTTGTGATTTGTTTATGCGCGTGCGAGATAGTCAGCTGTGTACTACTTCGGACCGGTTCATGGACGGCATTTGTGTGTACATTCACCCCGCTCCTTTCCTATCTTGAACGTCATTTGCACTGCTCACCGCATACATTGTCGCCATATGATTTAAATTGTTTTTAATAATTTCCGGCACTGGGTATTTAGTTATTTTTTGACCCCTACTCTAAAGGCTAGCCGTTTGGTCGCCAACGGACCGCCGGGTCAATCGTCGGACGGGTTGTCGGGGAATAGCCATAGTCGGAACTGGTCGCACTATTTCCCGTCCGTAGCGGTCGTAATTTTGTGTTGTTGTGTGCGCTGCAACTTTTTCATTTTTTTTATATATATTTTCGTGAGTGTCCGTTATTTTTTTTTATAATGTAATTATTATTTATATTGGCGTCGGCTAAACCTGCCTCCATATTCGTTAGCCCTTCGGGGCTGGTAATGTATAAGTTTTGTTTTAATGTTTTGAGCCTGATTATTTTTTTTTGTGCTCCGTGCCATAAGCACGTGTTGCCAATTTTTTTTATATATTTTTTTTGTAGGTGTCCTTATATTTTTCTTATTTAGGTCCCGCAACATGACAGGCGTGTAAAAGACCACCTGTCATGTTATATCCATATTTTTTGTGATTTTTTTATATAGGTTTGATACTATTTTTTTTATTGGGTGATGAATATATTATTGGTACAATGTGGTGACGTAGTGCATTTTATTCCGGGGTGTCCCAACGTCTTGCAAGCTAAGCCTAACTGCCAGAAACCAGTCGCTTACTTGGGACGTATACCCGCCGTGCTTAGCGGCAATGCTGCGATTAATAGCCGGCGGGTACCCGAAGACGTTCATCGTATTCTCTAATAATAAAAGTGTAGGTGTAACTAATTTTTTTTATTAATATCTATTTTTTTTTTTCTCATTCTTTGTCCCCTTTAATTTATAGACGAGGTTTTTTGACCATTCGGTTTTTTGCCTCGTGTTAACTTAATTTTTTGTTTTTTTTTTTTTTACTTAATAAAGTCCCCTTAATTTAACTTAACCATCATCTGTTTTTTTTTTTTTTTGGCTGTTCCATCTTCAATGGACTCGTGTATTTTTTTTTCTTTCAAAAATCAACTCCCCTAGTTTATAAGGTACGGGCAACGGCCTTGTATAAGGTCATCCCTGATCTATATGGTTATGTGACAACTGTCACGAGGTTTTGGTGTACATCTACTATCAACGACTCAACGGACATCAACTTTGATATTTATTAATTATATATTTGTTTCTAATTGTTTTAATATACAATAGTTAATTTTTTTAAAATCCTACTGTGGTCCGACAATACACTGTCTCGCCCAGTAGGTTGGCGACCCTCTTCTTATAATTTTGTAAAACGCCATGAAAGTTACAAATTTTTCGTTGCGGCCAATTAATTTGATTTTTATATATTTGTAACCTTTCAATAATACTGTGTTAAACGACTTTAATAATTCTTTAGATTTAGTTTTTGTTAATAATAATTCAACTCTGGTATCTCGGTCTAATGACAATTTAGTTTCTCCCGATAGATATCATCCATCATTAATAATTAGTAATGTATACAATTATGATAGTTATAATTCAAGATATAAGAATAATACATGGTATTATGACTTTAACCATGCTAATTTTCCTTTATTAGTTAATTTATTAAATTATGTAGATTGGTCTTGTCTTTATAATTTAAATGAAATTAACATAGCATTAAGTAAGTTTTATGAAATAATCTCTAGAGTGTTAGATGCTAATGTGCCTAAAATATACTCTTATAAATCTTCTTTTCCACTATGGTTTTCAAAAGAATTAAAGTCCCTTATACACAAAAAAAAATATTTGCATAAAAAATTTAAAAAATATGGATTACAGTCAATCTATAATGAATTTTCATCTACCCGTGCAACTTGTAAATTTTTATCTAAGCAATGCTATTCTGATTATTTAAATAAAGTTCAAAACAGTTTAATAAATAATCCTAAATACTTTTGGAAATATATAAAGAATTGTAAAAATGTAAACCGACTGCCTAATGTAATGAAGTACGAGAATTTGCGCTTTGATAATATGAGAGACATTGCTAATATTTTTGGTGAATATTTTGGTTCAGTATTCTCAGCACATAATACTGATCCGTTGTATTTGGATAATTACGAAAGTGATAAAATTGATTTTTCCAAATGTGATTTATCTTTATCAGATAATTATGAAGGTCTTTCTCATCTTAAAAATAGCACTTCAACTGGACCTGATTTAATTTCTGAAATATTTCTTAATAATTGTCGTTGTGCTCTTGCCCGGCCGATTCACTTCCTTTATTCCCTTTCTTTATCATCTGGTTGTTTTCCAGATCTTTGGAAATTTAGCTTTATATATCCTATTTTTAAATCTGGTGATAGAAGTGAGGTAACTAATTATCGCCCCATATCTAAGCTTAATGTCTTACCAAAGTTATTTGAAAAATTATTACTACCTAAGCTTGCATATACATTTCAACCTATTTTAGTTAATAATCAACATGGCTTCCGTTCATCAAAATCAACTATAACAAATCTTCTTACTTTTTACACTACTTTAATATCCGATATAAGCTCTGGAGGCCGCGTTGACGCTGTGTATACTGATCTCAAGAAAGCTTTCGATAAAGTTGATCATTCAATTTTGTTAAAAAAGCTAAGACTTTTGGGTGTAGGTAATCCAATGCTTGCGTGGTTTTCTTCCTTTCTCAAAAATAGAAATCAACAAATCAAAATAGATAATTTTACTTCGAATATAATTAATGTTACTTCAGGTGTACCACAAGGTGGCCATTTGTCTCCTTTACTTTTTATCGTTTTTATTAATGATTTATGTCGAATTTTTCAACACTGCAACTATCTGCTTTTTGCGGATGATCTTAAGTTATTTATGACCATTCAATCAGTTGATGAATGTGGTAAATTACAATCAGATTTAGATAAATTCAGTTTATGGTGTAAAAAAAATGGATTAGTAATTAATACAAATAAATTTTTTTTATTTGTTAATTAAATAGTAATTATAAAATCTCCTAATTGCATATTAATCTTAACAATTTCATTTTTTTCTATTTAATAATGTCAATTTCAAACTTGCAAGTTCAGCTAAAAGTTATGGTTATAAATTCATTTTTTTTTTTTTTATTGAAACTTTCACTTTAAAGGACAATAAAAAGTAGATTTAAAATGATTACTTTTAACATATTAAAAATCAAAATCAATAATAAATTTGAAAAAAATTAATTTAAAAAACCCAGCACAGGGGGTCGCGGCACAGTTGTGACGTGGTATAGTTGGATCAAGTATAATGATATCTGACAGTGATTAAAATCACTATCAAAAATAAACGCTTCGATGCAAATCTTTAGATAGTGCTTAATTTAAAAAAAATTGGTGTTTTATTCCAAAAGCTACTTGATCTGCTGGTTCCTTATTAATATCTCGATAAAGATAAAGTATGTCAAATGAAAAAGGATTTATTAAAAAATATTATTTCTCATAAAAAAATTGTGTGGATCCATAAACTTTTCAATAAGTTATAGCATTATAAAGTTAAATATTATATAAATAATAAAATCGAGAACTTTCACACGAAAATAGCATTCGGTAGCCATTTTCGCCGTGAAGACAAGTCCAGAGGTCAATTTTTTTTTTCAAATTAAAGTATATTACATAAGCTTCAATTTAAGATATATATAAAAGTGTCTGACCTTCCGGAACACTTTCAAAAGTTAAGTTGAAAAAGTTCTACTTTCTATATGTATATATTTTGTTTTTGTATAACTAACGTCTTACACTTTGTTATGAACATCTTTTCCGTTATCGTGTCATACTCGTGTTCTTCACGTCGCCGTCGCGGTCATTATATTTTGTCGATAGCGTCTCAACGGAAACCGATAAACACCAAACACGAGAGTAACACAATAATAGTGGTGTGCTATTATGTTATGCATTATTATTTTATAACTAGAGCACAAGACTTCTGTCCCCTAAAAAAACTGATTATGCGTGCACTTATGCACTTAAAAATCCTGAAATAAGCTCTTATAAATACATTTTTTAACGGTTTATTAATAAAATAAATAATTAATTAAAATGTATAAACCAAAAAGAATATGCAATGCTAACAGTCCTCTGCAATTTTTATAACAAATAAGATAATC